GGTAATATTAAACTCCTCTGATATCCCAGCTGCCGCTTTTACACGGCTTTTGTGGCATCTGTATAGGAGTTGGACCCATTGTACGAGCAGCTCAGGCATGCCGTGGTCTCGCAGTGCGTACCAGATGAGATCGTGCGGGACTCGGTCGAAGGCCTTTTCCAAGTCTAGGAAGGTGGTGTGGAGCGGGATTTTCTTCTCTCTGTGAGCCTCCATCAGCATCCGCACACCGAAGATGGCGTCGGTGGTGCCGCAGTTCTTGATGAATCCAGCCTGGTTGACGCTGATGTCGACGATGTCCCGAATGCGCTTATCAAGGACGCGTTCAAAGATCTTCATAGTGTGTGACAGTAACCTGACCGGTCTGTAGTTGGAGCAGTCCGCTGGGCTGCCCTTTCCCTTCCAGATCGGAACAGTGGTGCTGCGGTACCAGTCGTGTGGCACTTTTCCCGTGGAGACGATGTTGTTGAACAGCTCGCACAGCCACAATGCCGAGCCCGGTAGTGCCTTTTTCCAGAAGTCGGCAGGGATGTCGTCTGGTCCTGTTGCCTTACCGTTTTTCATGGCCTTGATGGCGTCGGCGACCTCGCTGGCATAAATGCCTGAGACTGGGCCTTCAACTGGGTCACCTCGCGGGGTTCGTGGGTGTGGGAACTCCTCGGTGGAGATCTTCTCGAAGTATTGCCGCCACCTCTCCGCAGCGTCTCTGGGGTTGACGATCAAATTTCCCCTTTCGTCGTTGATCCCATGAAACTGGTCAATGTCCAGGGTCTTCCTGTGTCTGCTTTTGGCTAGGCAGTAGATCTCATTCTCGCCTTCTCGTGTGTTCAGCTTCTCGTAGATGTCATCGTAGTGGGAGCTTCTGGCTGTCGCTACTGCTTTCTTGGCTGCCTTTTTGGCCGCCTTGTATTCGCAGAGCTTCTCGCTGGTCTTGTCCTGAAGAAAGGCCTTGTAGAGCCGTTTCTTCAGGTGTACGGCATCTTGTACTTCCGGTGTCCAGAGCCATGTATCTCGTTCGATGCGTCTCCGTCCTGGCTTGGTGCAACCAAGCTGTTGGCAGCCGGAAGTGTGAACAGTGCTCTTCAGCATGGACCACGCTTCCTGTGGCCCGTCGACCATCTGCAGGAACTGCTCCGGTTTGATGAGGGGTCCCGCCATCTTCTTCTGGTTCCACCACTTGATTCGTGGCTGGTCTGCATTCCTTTTGTCAATCCTGGTCTTGGGCTTGCTGATCCTGATCTTCGCCATCAGCGGCCTGTGCTGACTGCTCGATTCGTACGGGTACGCCTTGGCGTTGAGCACGTTTTTAGCGGCTCTTCGTCGTACGATGATGTAGTCGATCTGTGTGTGGTGGCTCCCGTTTCTGCTATGGTAGGTGAGGATTTGAGATTCTCGCCTAATGAAGCAGGTATTCGTGATGGTCATATCATGGGAGTCGGCAAAGTCCAGGATCCTCTGGCCATTCTCATTCGTATCGCCTGTGCCGTGCCCACCGTGGCACTGGTGTCCGTTTTTGTCCCGCCCTACATGACCATTCAGGTCGCCCGAGATGATGATGTCGTCTTCGTGTGGGATCTGCCTGAGTTGGATGTCGAGCAGTTCCCAGAAGGTATCCTTCTCCTCCTCGTGACATCCGGTCTGAGGGGCGTAGGCGGACAAGATGTGTAGGCGCTGCCTCTCGGTCGCTACGACGATTATCATCAGTCGTTCTGTGAGGCGCTTAACTTCTGATGATGATGGTGACTACTAAATGACAGATACCTGTTAAAGTAATGTTTTCTCTTTTATTCTAACACCATCAAAATTAAGCTTCAAAGTGTGTAAAATTTGCTGAGCATTGCCTCCTCTTGCCCTGGAGAGAAGTGGAGGGACTGCAATGACATTAAACTAAAGCAGGACAGGGATCAGCAATGGGTTCAGCAATCTTATGCAGTTATGTAGTTTTGCCAGCTCAAGGATGACTTAGCAATTAGGAAAGGTTCAAAGTCTGCTGGAAGATTGTTTGATGCTCTCTGCCAAAACTGGAGGTTCAAAGATACAAGGAAGCCTCAGGGAAAATTAAATTGGCAAATTTCTATCCACATTGAAATAATATATGGGATTATGAAACTGGAAAGAATGAATTGTGAAATTGACTATTGATGTACTTAAGTAAGCTTAACTTCTTAACAACCAGTATGTTCACCTTTTTACAGTACAAACAAATTATAAAAAGGGTGAGTTATGTATCTGTGCTAAGGATACAAATTCCAACGTGTAAATTGTTGCTTTCTGCTATGCAACCACTCAAGATCTGCTGGAAGTTAAAAACTACCCCTTCCTAAAAAAATTGAAATATTTTAGGATATACTAAAAAGACAGGATATTTCCTCTAAAAGAGAAGTAGAAACTCAGAGCAGCAGAAACTCACCACCACCCCCCTTTGTTAATGGGCCATTAAAGCCTGGGCCAGTCCTACATAACAAAGATCTACTTCCTTCAGACAGAGCCATTGAATTGCCCTTCATTGCACCACCCACCTAGTTTCAACAAAACTTAACACACAACCTACAAAGCTAGCTATGACCTCTGACAACAACCAATCAGGATATTCTTCCTGTGCCCCAGGAAGTTCAAAGCCCAGAGAGAGCATAAAACCAAGGGACTCTCAGCATCTCTGCCCTTTCTTTCTTCGCCCAAGAGCTCCAAGTCACCATTAGTCCACCATTAAACCTTCTTTCCAAACAGCCTCCATGTGTCCAGTATCTTTTTCCCCACTTGAAACAACCCAGAAAGATATTTCTTCCAACAACCCCCCCCCAAATCTCAATAAACGCAATATAAAAAGTTAAAAAGATAGATTAAATTTATCAATAAAGCAAATAATGAACTCATTTAATGGTGAAAAGTCTAGTGACAGAGATCCCTCGTTACAGAGCTCCTAATTTTTGAGAAAGTGCTGGCCAAA